TGGGTCAGTTCTTTACATAGTGATCAGGAGGACCTGGGTTCAATTCCCTTGCCTGCCCATCTTTTTCTCGCAAACACCATTTGGCAATAAAGCTAAATATGACAACAAATTATTTAATTTGCATGACTACCCAGATAGCTCAGTTGATTTGTACTATGTCAGCAATGTGAGCGATCGCTGGTTCGAATCCAGTATGTTTAGTTAGGTTTTTGAATGCTAGTGAAGACAGTGCTCCTATGAATAGGACTTAAATCCTAACTCCTGTGTGAAGACACTCGTGGTACAGTGGACAAGACGGGAACTCAAAGATCGCAAGTTCGAATTACGGATTCGACACTCCTACAAAAGACATGAAAGACGGTAAAAACATAAACAGCGGATTCAAAAACTCAAGTCAGGAAAACAGAACACAAGAATACTAGTACTACCCCACATGGAAGCCAGTCGAAGTCGTTCGAAGAACGAACACAGTCGAAGAACGAACACAGTTGACAGCTGTAGGTAACGTGCAACAACAGACACGAGGAGCATGGCTGCTCTCCAAATGGGTCCCTTCTTTTGTATTGACCCCCTTAGGATTGCTAATCCCCCTTTCTAACTCTTCCCCCAAAAATAATATATCGCCCCTTTTAAAATGTATTGATCCACAAATTAATGAATATTCATGAGCACAGAAACTGCTACGTCATGAATAAATTAGCATAATTTATAAAAAAAAATTGCATAAAGTGTAGGTACTCCTTCTGGAGCTCTGCCCTTAAAAATAGTAGTTCGAAATTTCAGCTCAAAATAGTGACTTCATGACCAGATGGCTAATAATTTGTTCAACCCCCAGGGGTCAGCTGTGGGTTGAGAAAGGTATTGGTTCCAATGACAGCACCATAACCAATAGGTATGAATGTATACACCATACTCACTTTGCGGCACACAACCGTTTTACTGGATTTCATACACTTTGCATGCGACTGAAGAGACAGATCAGCCTTGGCAAGTAGACAACTTGACTAAACCAGTTTTTCATTATTATACTTATAGGATGAAGGAATAAGACAAGTATTGGAAGAAATGAGATCCTTGTATGAACAGAACCAAGCAGACGTGTATGTTCTTTCATTAGAAATGTCTTTCTGATGTTATCCAGAGAATTTTTTTTCCTGGGTAACAGCCGGGGCAACAGTTTCCCATTACTAGAGAGTAGGGCTGCCACAATGTAGATAAACTAACTTGCCCAACACTAGTACGGTAGTAGCAGACATACCAGTAATATCTCTATTGTCATACAATCATGCTTAACCATACATATTTATTTTGGTACAGTTGTGTACTATTTAAGTTTATAATCAAAATATTTATGACAGTAAAATATCAGATACCAGTAATTTTAGACTGAAAATTTAAACGAAAACATTTCTGATTGATGGACAGATCTCCAAATTCATTGTGGTTCAAAGTTTGTTATTTCTTCAAGTTCGCACTAGTAATGTGGTAAAGTCCACAGCAACTTCCATGTAGTACATGTGGTACTTAAAATGATCATCACTGAAAGAGTACTGTAGAATACTTTATTTTCGCTTGGAATTTATTTTTGCTGAAGGGATGATTCCGTGAAAATAAAATCCAGTGAATATACTTTTTTTCCTATATTTCACATTAAACTCATGAAAAAATCAGTGAAAATAAATTCCAAGCAAAACGCCCAAAAAGCTTTTTCGGCGAAAATTAATTCCAGCGAAAATAAAGTATTCCACATTATTAGACAATTCTGTATCTTGTTATAATAGGAGTGCTACAGTTGCAGGAGAGCAGGGATTGTTTTCAGGAGTTCAGCTTCGCCATGCCAGTTTAGAAAGAGATAAAAGATGTCTTCTTGCATATCTGTAAGTGTTTTGCGTGGATGTTATTACCATATAAAAACTCATAGTTGCTGTCGACATAGGAAGTAAAGTAAGCAAATAACACCGAATAAACGGCAAGGTAAAGACTATGTCTAATTATAGTAAATACGTACTGCGTGCGTGACTCGAACCGGCGCTCGCGTACGGCACCTAATCGCCTAGCTTCACGCCACTACACGTCTTCCCCTCGGCCACCGGGCATCCCCAAAAAAGGATGCTT